GAGGCTGTGTGAATGCTTCTCACCCACCCCACACACACACACCCCCACACACACCCCCCCACACCCCCCGCACACCCACCCACACCCCACACCCCGAGCCGGCTTCGAGCTGCGGGGATTCCTGCGGTCCGGTGGTCTGAGGGGCAGGGCTGGGCTGCAGGAGGGCTGGGGCTTCTCTGCTCGGGACCCTGACTTGGGGCACGTCACCCTGTTTTCCTATTTGTAACACGGGGTTAACGCCGCCTTTAGCTGTTGGGGTGTCATGACTGTGCTTAATATTTGGGAGGTGCGTGAGTAGCGTAGCCGTGGGCGCGGGTACACCACTGAAGGACTCAGTACGTCGGAATGAAAGGGAGGGTTTCACCCATCAGCGGGAGAATGGGGCTTCTGCAGGGGAGTAGAAGACCCTGAACCTTGGAGCTTGTCTCGCACAAGGAGGGTAGCGTGCCTCTGGCAGAGGCAGTGCTTCAAGCTCTGGTTTAATGTTTGGGATCCTCCAGTAGATTTTTGTTGTTATCGTTGTGGCAAGTTTCTTCATTAATTTCTCACCCAAATAATTTAAACCTGAACAGCGTGATCACTGTTTGTTCTTTCCCGTGCTCCAGTGAAGATAGTCAGTTTGCTTGTTTCCTTTAAAACAAAAGCAACGCTGCTCCACACCCCCCCCACCCCCAATGCCTTAAAATTAAAATTATTTTCTACACAGTGGCTAGGCCAGTCAGGAATTCTGGGTTGTTCAAATTGTTTAAATATATTGATTTCCTTTTAATAGCAGACTTTTATTTGTGATACTCTGAAAAATTTATCTTTCAATGGATTTATGTGATGCTTGGGTAATATGTGGTTTGCTGTGCATCTTACTAAGAGAGCAAACTGCTTTTTAGCTTCTGGATAGCAGTAGGAGCCCTGATTAGCATCTGTTTAATTAAGTGAACTGAACATGTTCAGAAATAGCCAAAACCATCCATGCACATACAAACTCTTACCAAAAGTTTTCAAGTGAAGTAATGTGGTGCAGAGTACATATGTAAAATAAACTCTGGACTTGAAAGAGTTTGTTGTTGTGGAACTTGTCTAGTATGTTGGTAAAAATGTACCAAATATTTATTAGAGTAGAAATCCTGCTTCTGTGTTGTTTAAATTCTAATTTAATGGTATTTTCTTTTGTATAACACGTTATCTTGAGGGGAAAAGGGCCGCGTTGTGTGAATGTATCGGTTATCTCGATATATTACTTTCCATCTAATTCAGTGGAAGCATTCTAGTTGTAAAACTTCTTTTTTGATATTGAACTGTCAAGAGTAATCGAGCTGTAATCAGAGCAGTAAACAATTTTCCTGGAAATTAATAAAGTTCCTCTTTTAAGAGCCTCAATTTCACGATTGCTACAGAGATGTGTGCTAGCTCTAATAAATGCCAGAAATGGTACTAAAAGGATAGGAGAGGTTACATGTGCTGTAATGTTGAAGCATGTTCATGTAGAAAGACATAAAATAAGATTGCTATCAACATATTAGGAGCTATAAACAATATGGGCAATTCAAGCATGTGAAAGTGTTTCATGATATTTGTTCTTATAAATGAATTTTATTACGGTTCTATTGTTCTAAGTAGTTCCATTTTTATGATGTTGTTACGAAAGAGAATTTAGATGTCTAACAGTATGCAAACTACTTAACAGGTTTTAGCTGTCTTTGTTTCAACTGGCCATGCATAAAAACAGTTGAAGAGCAAGCTTGTAAAATCAGTTCTTGGAGTTAAACAACTGAAACTGGATTTGATTTCTCTTTGCTAACTTTTCTTGAATATTTGATCACCTTATCAGCGGTCTTTCTATTGTGCCAGACGTGTTCAACCTACAGCCTCTGGAGGTTATGGAGAGTTATGTGAGAGAGATTGGGACAGCACAGGTTGTTTTGTAGCTCAGTCTTCTGAGGCAACTCGGGATACTCGGCAAGTAGAGTCAGGGCAAAGGTAATCTTTCTGGGGCAGCAGCAAGCTTCTTTGGGCTCTCATCTTTGTGGGACACCTTGTTTTTTCCCCTTTCATGGTACCTATTTTCATCCATCATGTGATGTGACAAGAGTGGCTGAAAGAAAATTGTGAAATGAGGACACTAAGGAAAATAATTCACCTGATCTGGAGTTCTTCATGGCCCTGAGATGACCTCAGGAAAGAGGGCTGCTAGGAACTGGCTTTATTAATTGTTCTGGTGGCAGCAGCTTACCCCTGCCTTTTTCCCAGGCCTGTATTAAGGGACATGGAGACATAGCCATGTGCAGGTACTGCATACCACAGATGCAGCGTAGCAGATCTGCTGTGAGAGTGCAAGTTCAAGACTTGAACTTCAAATTTGTACACAAAACCAACTTAGAGATCAAACAAAGCACTGGGGTTCTGAACTGTCTGTTTGGGAGATGGTGTAAAGCATCGATCATAGGTGATGTTTTGGGGAATGTGGAGTAGGCATAGAAACCAGAGGGTTGTTAAATTCAAGTCATACTGAACTACTGTATGATGGGTTATATCCGTTGACCACTCATCAACTGCAAACTCTTCAAAATGTTGACACCGCCTTGTATAGGTTCTTCATCAGCAGATGTCATCAAATTACAGAATCATCCTGAATGATAGCAATGTAGTCACGTGTGGTCACGGGTAGATAGGCAGCTATGCTATTTTTATCACTTGAACCCGTTTTGTCTGGTCTGCTTCATCACAGAGATGCAGTCATTTAGGTAATTCGGTCAGAGAGGCTTAATCTTTGTAAAATTCTGCAAGTAGAGTCTCGAGTGATGAAGTGCTTTCCAGCAGTACTTGGATGAATATACTGCTGTAGGAGAAACTTGACAACATTTAAGCACATCACCCTGGATTCCTGCCACCTCTGTCAGGTAAGTCAGCTGTATGTCACAGCTGACAATATCAAATGAAGATGACAAGAATGTCTGGTGATGGGATGAGGTCATTCAGTACTGCTGCTGGAGCAGTTTGCTCTGTATCTTGGTACGAACCCAGGCTCTGCGTGCGCCAAGATACTCGCCAAATTAGAGCAGTTTGTAGATGGCCTTAAGCTAGCTTCTCTGAGCCCTCTCATAAACGAGAGGTGTGTAGTTGGGTGATAGTTGGCTAAAACATACTAGATTTTACTCAGAGTTGGACAGTTTCCTACTTCCACCTTTTCCCTCAATGATGTGTTTCCTACTTTGGACAGGAACACAGTGCTTACCTATGCTGATGATTTCCAAGCCGGCAAAAAGATGAGTCAGATCTATGAGTTACGATCACAGCTTTCTTCTGAATTCCTGTCCAGCTTCTGGAAGAGCAAGAGCTTCTAGAGTGTACTGGTGGAGAATGCAGTGGCTTATTTTGTTGATGGATATAAGTGAAGTACATTTAAGATGTTTAGGAAGCTCTTCTGAAAATGCATGATCTCTCTAGCCAAGTAGAACAGTTGATCTTGAAAGAGCTCAGTGTTTGCTTGCTTTTGATTAATAGGGTTTAGTTATTTTGGATATTTCCTTAAATTAAGATTTGGCATATTTATTGTAAACTTAAAGGAAGATTCTCTTTTTGTAAAATGAAATTTCATGCTCTTTGTCAGTCTTTTCTTTCATCATATTTCTGTCTCCCTTCCCCTCAGTGTAGGCAGAACATCCGGAAATCTATGTGGATGACAAGGAAGAAGGTAGCGTTTGGGAGGTGACATACCAGTGATCGGACTTAGTACAAAATAATCACTCGTCAGATGTCTCGCTTGTGTCCTGTAGGTGGAGAGCGGTTGTCCTAAGCCAGCTTTGGGATGTTTTGACATCTCTGCATCTCAGTCATTAGAGCTGTGTTTATTGGGTTGGTTTGTTGCTTGTTTTCTAAGGCCTTTGACTGCTCAAAGAAGTGCCTTGTTTGAGACTGGATTGTAATTTTTTTTCCTCTTGGCATTGAGGCTGGAAGGATGGTGTGGAGGTATAAGCTCCATGTGGCTAGACCTTGTGTGGCAGTCATAGGAGGCAACTGAAAAGATTTGCTTGCGGTCAACAAGTGGTGTTCCCCAGGGCTCCGTGTTGGGGCCAGTTCTGTTCAACATCTTTATCAATGACCTGAATGAGGGGATTGAGTGCACCCTCAGCAAGTTTGCAGATAACAATGAGCTGAGGGGAAGTGTTGATCTGCTGGAGGGTAGGAAGGCTCTGCAGAGGGACCTGGACAAGCTGGGTCAATGTGCTGCAGCTGACTGTGAGGTTCAACAAGGCCAAGGGCCAGGTCCTGCACTTGGGTCACAACAGCCCCATGCATCTCTACAGGCTTGGGGAAGAGTGGCTGGAAAGCTGCTTGGCAGAGAGGGATCTGGGGGTACTGGTTGACAGCCGGCTGAATAGGAGCCAGCAGTGTACATGGGTGGCCAAGAGGCCCAACAGCATCCTGGCTTGTATCAGGAGTGGTGTGGCCAGCAGGAGCAGGGCAGGGACTGTGCCCCTGTGCTGGGCACTGGTGGGGCCACCCCTCGACTGCTGGGGTCAGGGTTGGGCCCCTCCCTCCCCGAAGGATCTGCTCCTGAGTAACAAGTGATAGGACGAGAGGAAATGGCCTCAGGTTGTACCAGGGGAGGGCTTAGATTAGAAATTAGGAAACATTTCTCCATTGAAACAGTTATCAGGCACTGGGACGGGCTGCCCAGGGAAGGGGTCAAGTCCCCATCCCTGGAGGGATTTAAAAGACGGGTAGATGAGGTGCTTCGGGGGAAGTGGTATAGTAGTGGACAGGTATGGTTGGACTCGATGATCTTAAAGGTCTTTTCCAACCAAATGATTCTGTAAGATGGGTGTTGGGGCTTCTACCTCTTCTGGCATTTCAGTTCCCATTTGCTTGGAATGTCAGCAAAAGGGAAGAGGAATCTGCTTGTTTAGTATTCCAAAAAGGCAGGGCCTACCTTTGTGCCTGCTGCTTTTGTATAATGCAGTGATAACACCAAGTGGAAATCCTCAAACAACACTGTTGGGGAATTGTGACATTTGTTAGTTAACCATTCGTTCTATTTATTTTTTTCTTTTACTCTGGTTCAACTTAAGATCCTAGCTCTGAAAACACATACACAGGCATGTTTTGCTCTGGTGTGTGTATATAATTGTCTGCTGGAAACATTCTGCAAGTATATATACAGTGCAGGAGGTAGCCAAGTCAGTTTTATGTTGAAAACTCTGCCTTTGATATCAGTAGTTCTCAAACTGTGACCTGAAATACCTTGGCAAATAGTTCAAAGCTGTGCTACAAAACTTTATTACAATATAGTGTTGTTAATTAAAAGTCAGTGTACACTAAGTATGAATGCTGGTGAATAAGAAGGCTTAAGAGGTGACAGTAGTCTGTTGGCTGCAAGTTTTGGGGGATCTCTGTTATCCACACTTCAGTTTCAAGCATCCAGTTTGGAACACAGCAAAGTAATGTACTGTCTTATGTTTTTGATAGAACTAACACACAAAGTCCTACAGGCTTTTGTTTCTGTCAGTCCCTAAAGGTGGGCTATCTGTGATTGCAGTTCTTTCTTTATTTTCTTAACGTCTCTCTTGTTTTTCAGTTTTCTACTGGGAATCCATTATATGAAACTTACTACAAACAGGTAGGTTCTTTTTAAAAAAAATAAAAATAAAGCGCAATTTCCTCTTCCCTAAGATTTCCCTCTTTCCTTTCCTCTTTGCAGTGCTAACCTTCTGTAAATTCTCTCTGCTGAGTGGTAATGCACGCTTGTATAACTCCTTTTGACCTAGAGATAAGAGGTGTTTCATTTCTTGTCTCTACTTTCATGACAGACATGCTTCAATTGAATGTGAATTTTTATCTTTCAGGTAGATCCGACATATACGGGGAGAGTTGGGGCAAGTGAAGCTGCGCTGTTTCTTAAAAAATCCGGTCTTTCTGATATTATCCTTGGAAAAGTAAGTTGAAGGAGTTAGCTAATGCAGTAATTATCTGTACATGTACTTAAGTGCAGCTAACATTAAGCAGAAGGGGGTTGCAAAAAGGAATTCGGTGGAATGCAAATCAGATCCTTTGAAGGGTAGGTTAACCACAGATTGGTAATAGCTCCAGGGTATTGTTCTGTTTCATGGAAATCTAAAAGGAAAAATTGTCTTTTGTGTAACATTTTTGTTGTTAACTTGAGAGTTAAATAAAGTTGTATGTCATAACTTGAAAGCCGCAACAAACAGTTCAAGAAGGCATAGAATATGAACTGTTGAGCTGAGTTAATGTTTTTTGTTGTTGTTGTTTATTTTTTAAATCACCATGGCTTTTATTTTGTATCTACACAGATATGGGATTTGGCTGACCCGGAGGGTAAAGGATACTTGGATAAACAGGTAAATAAAATGCGCCTGTTTACCTCTTATGTTACCTTCCACAGATGAGCCTTGTTTCAAGAAAACCCTGATATCCCTAGTAGTTATCCTTAGGTTTGGGGTTTTTTTTTTTTTAGTAGTTACACGACAAGCCTTTTTTCCTAGAACTTCTCATATCCAAGTATATTACTCAGTAAGGCTTCTGGAGAAGTTTGGATCTAATTTTCTATCCCTCTGTTGTTTCGTAAATAATCAGTGTACCATGATATATAGATACATAGTCATTGAGTCTTTAGCAAATACAAACTGTAATTTTAAGATTTAGTTAGAAGTCTTTCTTGCATGAAGAAATATAACTAGCATTACTAAAAATGGCTTGGAATATCAAATATCAAGTTACTTGGCGATACAGAGAATTTTTTTTAAATGTTAACTTTTAAGAAAAATTGTTGAAATTTACTTAATTATAGCAGAGTCTACCTGTGAAGTTTACTTCTCTTTGTTCCATGTTATTGTAAAGTTTTTCCTGAATCATCTTTAAAAGCAGTGGGGTAGTTGTCGTTCTGCAGGTAACTGATGGGGCTGTACATCTCACGTTCCCATACTTTACTGAGCTGCACATATACAGTATTAGTAGAAATCGTAAATGCGTTATTGGAGACAGTGATATAGACTGCTTTTTTTAATAGAAAACACTATTGTTTGTAGGGTTTCTATGTCGCGTTACGCCTTGTAGCATGTGCACAGAACGGCCATGATGTTAACCTGAGCAGTCTGAACTTGACTGTGCCACCTCCTAAATTTGTAAGTAATATATACCTAAATGTATGTATGTGTTATATGAGAGCTAAGGCTTCGGTTGGAACGCTGGAATAACGTTCTGTTTCATAAATGTCATGGTTCTGAGACTTCAGGCTGCTGTTCCCTTAGACGACTGCAGTCGTGGCTGCCATAATCCTGTCTTCCTGAGTAATATGTACCAGCCCCTTCCCAGACTGCAAAACTGATGCAAGTTTAACTACGGTCAGCTTGTGCAGAAGGCTGATATGGCTAAAATTTATGAAAAAAAGAAAAGGAAAAAAAGATTCTTTTGGGGCTAGGTCAACAGGAGCCTGTAGTAAAGGGCATGACTGCAGCTTTGCCTGCAGTAGCTGCTGTGGAACCTCCTTTACCTTGTCTTAGTTTTGTGTTTGGGTACCTAATGTCCTTATCAAAGTACTGTGATAGTATGAATCAGTGTGACTTTTTTTATTTGGGTACATGTGCAGCTTTTTTCTTTTTTTTTCAGTGTAGTTAAGCTTCATGTCTATAACCATCTCTTAAAGGAATTAGTAAGGATTAGAGATGGAAGAGTGTGGGGGGTGGTTTTTTTTTTTATATATATATATATATATGCACACATTAAAAAATTCTTTAATTTTAGCATGACACTAGCAGTCCTTTGCTGATCACACCACCTTCAACAGAGACTCACTGGGCTGTTAGGGTAAGTGTAAAAGACAACACATTCCATCCATTCTTTAAAAGTAAATATTTTCCTTGTCTGTAATTTTCACAGTGAGAGAATTTTGTATCAAATATATTTCCCATTTCAAAAGTCCTCCCTTTCTGATGCCAGACTTGTGCACAATAGAGAATATTGAGCCGTAGCTTTAGATTTGAAATAAGTATTAAACAAGCCTTTGACAACCCCTGGTGTGATGTTTTTAAGACACAATGAATTTTAATCTTCTGCCTGGGTTTCTTCCAGAATCCTAATGGTAGGCACTTTCATGTTTGTATAAAGGAACCACACTGTGAACAGCAAAGCATTTCACCAAATCCATCCTGAAGTATTAATTTAATGCTTGAGTTCATATGTTCTAATTAGTATTCAGTGATACACACAATATATATCATTGGAAAAAAGTAACTTTTGATACATACACAGGAATATTTGTACTTAGTTGATTTTCAAATGCAAACATTTTCCAAAAGGCAGAAATTCAATAAAATACATTCTAATGCTGATTTTTTTTTTTTTTTTTCTGGTACTTGCATGTTGTACTTTGAAGTGGGAAGCAAATTATTTGGAAAAAATAATAGTTTTTAGTTCTACAGAGTCTGTCAAAGTTTGTTTAAAATCTCGTCAGCAGTGTCTTAAAAAGAATGCATTCTCCTGTTAGAACACTACAGAAACACATCTTGTATGCTGCATGTTAAAATCTCTTAGCTACCATAAGCTTAGCTTTGAAATTAAGCTCCTAAGTCTAGCTCCATGGGGTTTACGTTTAAACACAGCATTGTGGCACTTGCAAGAAAGCTTGGAAATTTAGAATGAATACATTACTGACCAGTCTTAATTTCTTGCAAGATCTCATTTTCAACACTCACACAGGCACACTTTTTTACTTATTCAGGCTATTTCTTACCAACTAGGTGGAAGAAAAAGCAAAGTTTGATGGTATTTTTGAAAGCCTTTTGCCAGTAAATGGTTTACTTTCAGGAGACAAAGTAAAACCAGTACTGATGAATTCAAAGCTACCTCTTGATATCCTAGGAAGGGTAAGTATGCTGTTTAGATCTAGCTATTCTCTATTTAGCTTCTTGTAGTTGCAATGTTAAATATTTAAATGTAACTTATCAACATAGATCAGGTTTTGGCTGAGATTTTACATCAAGTGCATGCTATATAGCAGGAACATTAAGTGGGCTCTGAAGTCTTCCACTTAGAAAGAAGAAAAATAGTAGTCATTTGGGCCCTAGAGTAGATTGGCTTCATTATATCTTTATTCATTTTAAGAGCTGGAAATTTTGATTTTGGTTGTTTAAAAACAAGAAAAAGCTCTCCTAAACCATAATAGCTTTTATAACGTTATATTCCATTGTTTTGTCATTTTTCCAAATACAAGTTATTAGACATCATTAAATCTATCCACTGTTTCTAGAAGAGAACACTTTAAAACATCCTAGTTTATTGTAGCTGTCAAATTGTCAAGTATTTTTTTCATGTATATTTATAAATACTGTTGAGATCTGAGGTTAGTGCGTCCGTTGGGTATTCACAAGAGAAGCAAACCTTGAAGTATTTTTCTACTTACATTTAAAATGTGTATTCTTTAATGTTTTGCATATTGATATGACTGAGAATGAATACATTCTATGTAAGAGCTGTATCTGTGTTATATACTTTCATCTCTTCAGGAAGAACTGCCTCTATCTGTGTTAGCTACAAAAATCTAAGTATGACTTGTTTTAATTCCGTACTTGAATATTGTGAAGTACTCAGTCTTGAAAGGCTTTGGGGTTTATCTTGTTATTGTCACAATAGAAATGCAGGAAGCTTTTTCCTGTTCCAGAAGAGTTTGCGGACAAGATAGGTGACTGAGGAAATGGGCAAAGGAGATAAACCAACCAGCTTAAATTTGTACCGGGATCCAGTGATAAAGCTTTATTAAAGCAGAGTTTAGATCATTGTGTGTTCTGTCCACTCTGCTATACTGTCTCCAGGTTACACTGATGACTAAACAGCATTAGCTGATGGCTGAGCATTAAAGTACACAAAGTTTTGTGTCCTTCTAAATCTCCTGCAAGTTTCTTTGACTGTACTTGACCTAATAATGAACTAAAGTTGATGGATGCTTAAATTCTCTCCTATAGAAATTCTGGGGGGTGGACATATTTTTTTGACTAAAAATTAAAACTAGACATTTTGGAATGGACTGCAAATTAGAAATGTACTGACTTTTCTAAAATATTTTAACTTTCTTATGAGAGAGACAAATTTGGACAATCAGCTAACCCACACCCTCTGGACAACTCTGAAAGCCAGCTCTGGATGTTTTTAGTCAGCTTGATGACTCCTCAGTTGCAACATAGAAAGATGAAAAACTTGCCTGTGGTTCATCCAGAATTTGTTAGAGCCAGCGTTGATTCATGTTGCCAGAAAACTCTAATCCAGTCTGTTTCATCAGAGACTGTTTAGCTGGGTCTAATAAAACCAATGTGATGTTCACAAAAATCTATTGGGATGTCTTTAGAGAGCATGCTTAATATGATGATGATTAACATCAAAAGCACAAAATGTAACTTGTTTTCTAAATCCTTGTTTTTACCATAATTGCTGTAGGTCTGGGATCTCAGTGATATTGATAAAGATGGTCACCTGGACAAGGATGAATTTGCTGTGGTAGGTGGCTTTAAATTCTCAATTCACAGTGTGCCTGCTAGACCGAATTGCTCAGTATTTTCTCAAGAGCTTTGCGGCTTTCTCTGCTATGGTCGATTGTTCTAATCTAAATTGTTCACATGGAACTATTAAATTATCTTTCTCAAATCCATCTACTGACTCTTGTCTGTGTCATCCAGATTAAACTTTTGGAATTACATTCAAAATTATCTGCTCTGGCTTACATCTCTAACTTTACTGTCTTCATTTTACTAATATGTAAATGACTGCGACTGGAAAATCTTGTTGCTTTGTCTTCTAATTGTTAATATTATCTGACGTTTTTGCCTTTGCAGGCAATGCATTTGGTTTATAGAGCTCTTGAGAAAGAGCCAGTTCCTTCACTATTACCCCCTTCTCTCATACCACCTTCTAAAAGAAAGAAGACGCCTGTCTTTCCTGGTGCAGTTCCTGTTCTCCCTGCGAGTCCACCACCAAAAGATAGCCTCCGTTCTACCCCATCTCATGGTAGCGTCAACAGTCTGAACAGCACAGGGAGCTTGTCTCCCAAGCACACCATCAAACAAGCGCAGGTACAAATCTTTTTTTTTTTTCCTTCTTTTTTTTCCCCCTCATTTTTTCACCCACCCACCATTTTTTCACCCACCTTTTCCATGTCAGTTAACTGCAGGAAAGAATAAAACTGCTTTTTTATTTGTGCCTAATGAGCACTTCTCTGAAAATGTGTTTGTTGGTGGGTGATTTGGAGAGAATGACATGAGAATGGTAAGACTTGGAAGAACGGAAGAAGAGCAGGTGAATTTTAGTCAGAGTGACCATGAGGTAGCAAATCTTATGGGGAATTTTCACTCTCCGTAGGAAGTGAAACCATAAAAAGGCTTTATTCATGTATCTGCTTTAGTACCAAAGAAATCATTAATCTCCCTTCTAAAGCTCCTGTGTTATTAGCCTGAGCACTTAGTGTGCCTAGCTGGGTTTGTATTTCCAAAGAATGAATGTTTTTCAACTGTTGTTTATCAGTATTTATAATTCAGATAAAAAGTATTAAGCAAAAACATTCATGGGAAAAGGGGAACTACCTATTTACTGATCAGATTTGATTGTACAAGATGTTCAGCACATCCAACTCTGAATAATGTCATATATATTCAGTGCTTGATAAAGACTGTCTGCTTTTGAAATATAAAACTCTGTTTTACAGCCATCTGTAAATTGGGTGGTACCAACATCTGAAAAAGTGCGATACGATGAAATCTTCTTAAAAACAGACACAGACATGGATGGTTTTGTGAGTGGCCAAGAAGTAAAGGACATTTTTATGCATTCAGGTCTGTCTCAGAATCTCCTAGCACATATATGGTAAGAATTCCCTAGTAGCTGTATTTTTATAACTTGCTGATCTGGGAAGTCAGATTACCCAGCCAGAATTATGATCCTAATGCTAAAAAAAAACCCAAGAAAAAAAGCCCAACCTCTTCTACTTGTCCTGTTGCTGTACTGCAATATGTGGGCTATGTGGAAAAACAAGGGAGAAATAAATACTCACTTTGCTTTTCTGGGAGGGAGGTATAGATCAGTCTGTGAATTGTGATTGTTCTTTGAAGTGCTCTAAGTATTTTCTTAGAGTAACACTGTTCAGTTAAATACGTCTAATAAAATACTGCTCTGTTTATGGAACTCTCACTAGAGTAAGCAATTTCTGATGAAGCTGTGGCAAAGGAAAATTACGTGTGTGTGTGTGTGTGTGTGTATTTTGGGCTTCTCGGTAGAGGAGGAATAAGCTTTTCTTGTTTATAAGCATGATCTATTTTTTACCAGGGCTTTGGCAGACACAAGACAGATGGGAAAGCTCAGCAAAGATCAGTTTGCACTAGCAATGTATCTCATTCAACAGAAGGTCAGTAAAGGGATTGATCCTCCACAAGTGTTGTCCCCAGATATGATCCCTCCCACAGAGAGGAACACTCCCATACAGGTAAGTCATTGATTATTTGTAGATAATACTGAGCTTATGTGCTTTAAAAGTAATGTGCTTTGAGTGTTTTGTCACTTTATTTTTAATATTATGGTAAAGAATTGCCAATTTTTTTTTTATAATCTCCTCTTACAAAATTCTTAACATCTGAAAACATACATACGTTTTTAACAACACAAGACAGTAAGTAAAGAATGCAGTAGAATATTCCGTAAATAAAGGAATAATAACATTGAAAAAAGCCTAACTTGAAAAATACATAGAAAAAATTAAAAGCAACTGTTAAGAGCTGGTTTAGTAGCCCGTCCCTGGCTGTGATCAGTTCCTCCCATGAAAATGTAAAATTTTTTTATTAGCTAAATGAAGAGTGATTACTTCCTAGTTTCTGGGAACTGGTGGGTGTTTCATCCCTTGTAGCATGACAGTCTGTAGTCCTATATCTATCACTGTTAATACCATTTTACTGCAGCATCTAATCTTTTACTGAACCCTGCTTTGTTCCTTTCCTCAACAGTGTGTTAGTGTATTTCTGAAACTTCAATTATTGCTTTAGTCATATCAATACATTCATCCTTTCTATAAATCATACAGTATTTTCCTTTACTCTTCTTACTTTTCCTAACCAGAAAACTTTTGAGCCTCTAAATATATTTTAATTGTTGCTGGTCCTTTTAAGGTCTTTCCTATATCCTTTTTCTATAGACTCTGTCAGGTTACTTGACCCCTGTAGGAACTGAGATCTCAGCACTAACAGAAATGCGTCGTGTGAGTAATTGTAATGTCCAAAAGAATGCAAATTTGTTATGTCTGCTACTTGTAACTTTAAAAAAGCTTTTATTTCTACACCTTCTCCTGTCTCTTTGCACTTGTGTTCTGTGACACTTGCTCTTGGCATGATGATAATGTCACAGTAGCGTGAAGTTACCAGTATTGGCTGTTGACCCGGTGATACTGCTTCCTTCAACAATTTGACATGCATTGGTCTGTCGAAGTTCTTGGACAGGCAACTCAGGGTTGACTTGTTCAAGTTACTTGTGTACTAGTTCTCTGAAGCTGTGGGCAATAAATATACCTTGGTGTGAGAGCTTTAAGCTTCCCGTTATTTTCAGTTCATTAGATTATTTTTTCATTTATTGTGGTTTTAGCTGAATATAACATGAAATAAACTGTGTGTTACTGTGAACATAGCAGATTAGTTTGGGGTTCATGTGGAACAACAAACTGTGTTATCCTAAACAATGCAGCAGCTGATTTTAACTAATTTCATAATCAAGTTTGGTAACACTTTATTATGAACCTGTGCAGCATACAGTACAGGTCTCTCAGTAAATCTGTATCTAGTCTGAAAAATATAAAAGTGTTATTGGAAGCTTTTGATTTGCTAGCTTGAAGAATGTCTGGCTTGTTGTTGTTATTTATTGAGTACTTAATGGCATATTAATAAAAGAAATGCTCATCAAAAAATGAGGACTTAACTTATTTAAACTGGATATTCACCTATTGTTTCTGCAAAAAAATGTCACATTTTACTATGCCATCTGTGGTTTGTTGGTTGGGTTGTTGGTTTTTTTTTTTTTTTTATATTGAATAAAGCCAAACTTTCTGTGGTTATCACAGCAATCTCAAAGTGAGCAAAGTAAACAAGCTGTACTTTCTTCTTTTTAAAATGCTATTTAAAAATGGTAGGTCTCCTGATTTGTCATGCTAACAGTGAGTTCGGTGTTGCAATTTTTGCTCAGTTGCAATGATTTTTCTTTATTCAAAGAACTAGCAATCCTTTTTTATAATAATGACAAATTTTGTACTGAATGCCGTAGAACTTTTAATGACAGTTTTCTTGCCTAAAAGGCAAGGGATACCATCTGCATCTTCCCTGATCTACACCTGAATGGCTGTAGAAATGACCTGCATGGCAGGAAATTGGGTATAATTGCAGAAAGTGGCAATAATTTGTGGCAGAGCTCAAGAAGACTGAAATTACAATCTGATTTGATTAAGTTCCCTGGAAGCTTTGCTATTGATTATAGCAGAGCTGGGGTTTTAGTTTTTGAATTTTAATTCTATCATTGCCTGCAGTTATTTCGGTGATATTGTGCATGTCCTTTAAATGCTGTGTGGTTTGACTATCCCATCTGTTAAATGGGCATGGAGGAAATTCTCCTGTCTTGCAGGTAGAATTGTGTGGCATGCTCAGTGGTTGTTGCATAATAATTTGATGTCTCCCATACAATTTTGCAAATGCTTATAATGAGGATTGTGTCCCACCTTTGTCCTCAGCCTTTGTAAAGGAAGATCTGTTACGACTTGGCATTTTAATAGACTATTTTATTCTTAACAGGATAGTTCAAGTTCCGTTGGATCAGGAGAATTTACTGGGGTGAAGGAACTGGATGATATTAGTCAAGAAATTGCACAGCTGCAGAGGTAATAGTTGTGGACTATTAGCAAAATCTTGGGGTAGGAGAACCAATTAAGTATATAGCACTGATGTGCTGGCAAATCTCCCACTGGTACCCTACAGTTAGCCAGTTATGTAAAGCCAGCCTGGATTCTGCCAGGCGACTTCAGAAGATTGGTTATGGAACAGATAGTGGTTTTCGAAGAATAATTGATGTGTATACACCTTTACTCCTTTAAAGAATATATCAGAATATGGCCTGGCATTTTTGGCTGCGTGGTGTTTCCAGAATAATATTTAATTGATTTTTGCATGTGTGCGTGTGTGTTATATTATTTAACTAGTCGTGAATACACGTGCTTGTTTATCTTACAGAGAAAAATATTCGCTAGAGCAGGACATTAGGGAAAAGGAAGAATCAATCAGACAGAAAACCAATGAAGTTCAGGTAAAAACTCTGTTTATCGTTACTAGTTTTCATTATAATCTAAAACAATATACAGGGAATTGAGCATTCTTCTGTCTTTCCTTATATTGCTTCTGGGCAAGTCTTTCCTCCTTTCATGGGATTTTCCTCTAACTTACAGAAAGATCTTTATTTTCCCATTGCCCATCAGAAATGTTTTCTTCTTATACTGGTTAATATAAATGGAAGACGATAGGTGAACGGTTTGAAATGTCTTTTTTGTTAGTGCTCGACTAACACTGTAATTTAGGAAATCATTGTTCAAAGAGTATTCATTTTGATAATGAGGATAGCTCAGTTACATGTGCGCTGTGTCACAGTCGCTTTCCATTTTCGGGGCGCTGATTTGTTTCCTGATGTCCTGTACAAGTACCTGCAGAAACAAAATATATGCATGCAGGGAATAGCCTACATGACATAAAAAAATCTTCTGAAGTTTGCTAGCCTGTTTGCCTGTGGTTGATGATTTGTATAAGACAACAGCTAAATGTAAGTTACAAACTGTGGAATTTCCCTCAGGAACTGCAAAATGATTTAGATAGGGAGACAAGCAACTTGCAAGAGCTAGAGGCTCAGAAGCAAGATGCCCAAGACCGCCTGGATGAAATGGACCAGCAGAAAGCCAAACTGAAAGATATGCTGAATGATGTAAGGCAGAAATGCCAGGAAGAAACACAGGTGGTGAGTGTATGTTAATTCTGGACATGCTCAAGAGTATCATGTCTTTTGTTGAAGGAAATTCTATTTATTTAATGAATAAGCTTGCTTTGTTTATTCATTTTTACAATAAGTAGCAATTTCCACACAAATACAGAGGTCCAAGAAAGGATTTTGCTAATGTAAATCCCTTTCATAATGCTCATAAATGGGGGGGTTGAACCAGATGATCTCCAGGGACCCGTTTCCAAATAAATTGTTCTGTGAATATATGAAACGTTTGTTCAACCTAGTAGGGTGGTTGAGAAGCCATGAGACAGTCCACGCGCAGTGGTGCATATTTTGATCACTGTGAACCTTGTCAGTATTCTGAATTGGAAGTGGGTTTTCAGGGGGCTACAACTACCAATGTAGTTGGCGTGTTATCTTAATGTAGAAACTTGGTGTGTAGGGTCGTGTAAGAAAGTGCATGAGGAGAGTCATGTGCAACTGTGTAATTTTATCAGAGTTAAAAATCAACTTTATAATACTTGATAAGACTTTGAATGGAAAAGGAGCCAAGTTCTGAAAGCTACAAGGTAACCATCTGAGAAATACCTTTTAATTACCTTTATAATTAGTGTGGGATTTGTCATTTTAAATATTAGTATTTCTTGGGTTTTTTGAATGTCCTATGTGCTTTAATAGAGTATTTTGTGTAGCATAATAAGCAGCATGCAGTTCTTCATATTAAGTTCTTGTTGTCTTCCTCAGCAATTAATAGGTTGCTTTACAATTTTCTATTATTTACTATAAATCAATAATTTATTAAGCTATATTTATTTTCAATGTCACTGGTTTTTGTAACGTTTTGTTTCAGATTTCATCACTAAAAATGCAGATTCAATCTCAGGAATCAGATTTAAAGTCACAGGAGGATGACCTTAATAGAGCAAAAGCAGAGCTGAATCGCCTCCAGCAAGAAGAGACTCAGCTAGAGCAGAGTATCCAGGCTGGAAAAGTGCAGCTTGAAACAATAATCAAATCTTTAAAATCAACACAGGAAGAAATAAACCAGGTATTCACTGTAGGTTATACATCTTTTTTGCTTCTTGAAAGGCTAAGAGATGCACGTCACCTAGAAAGATTATTTTTCAGATGAGAAGAAAAAATACTGGTTGATGAAATAAAGCTCTTTGACTGGTGCTTAGTAGGTTAACTCCCAGCTTGAGTCAGGAGAAGTTCAGCTCTGGTGGGGGGGAAAATGCAGCTGTCTGGCAACTGTGTTGAACGAGAATGACAGTGTTACTGAATGCATAACATACTGAAGCATTTTTCACTGCTTAGGCAAGAAGTAAACTTTCTCAACTTCAAGAGAGTCATCAAGAAGTCAACAAGAGTATAGAAGAATATAATGAAGCTCTCAATGGGATTCATGGTGGTAGTCTGACGAATTTAGCAGACATAAGCGAAGGCCTTGGGCAGACGGAGAGAAGCAATTATGGAGCTATGGTAAAAAAAAAAAACCTGTTTACTGTATTTTACAATAATTACGTTTGTGACTTGCACCAAATCTGGAATAGTTAAGATGTTTGTTTAGTTGGCTTTTGGTATGTTAGCAAATACCGTGATCCCTGCATGTAGCAATCTCCAGTGCAAGGCAGGGCAAGGATACTAATGCTGCTAGAAAACCTGTTTTTTTTAAGCTTTGGCTTAGGTGTGCTAGGATTTTGTGCCTGTGTAACTTAACAGAATGGACATGTAAGTGAACTGTACTTATGGAAACAAAAAGAAAAGGTCATGTTAACCCTTGATTTGTGAGGGTTAACATCTTTAGTCTCAGGAATTAGGTAAGATTAATTTCCAATTCAGGTGTTTTGCCCTTTAATTATGTGTTTCTTTCTTATTTCCAAAAGAAGCTATACAAATTTCTCCTTCAGAGAGCTATGTTTATTACCTATTTCAGTATAAACCATGTTCCTTTCCCAAAATACGTAGATAGTTCTCTTCTGCTTAAACAGTTCCAGCATCACTTATCTCATATATTATATTTTCTTTTAACCAGTATTTTTCCCAATTAACATGCGTGTTTGATTCTACTTGCCCATCTACTTGGTGCTTCCTCACTGGGGAGAGATATATTTTCCAGAATCCTTGTAAGCACAGTGTTTACTATGGGTTTAGTACGAAGTTAAATATATATTTCATATAGTGTATTAATAAATATTCAGCAGGCATGATGCCTTTATGCCCTGCTTTACACCTTTTCTGTAAAAACAAAATGCTGAAGAGTGTAGATTAAAAACAATACATTGAGAGACATGGTCTTAAACTTTAGTGCTTAGTTTCTGTGCTTGCATGGCTTGCATAAACATGTTTAATTTTCAGTAGAAACATCCAGATGTTTCTCTTACTTGCAAAACATAAGAATCACTTAGTGGAAGAAAACCCCAGTATATGTTCATTGTAAATTTTCTAAACCATTGTGCCCCTTTCCTGTTTCTTAATTCTTCCTTCCTCTTCCTCCTCTCCCCACCTCCCTCCCTGCTGTTCTGAGAAGTATTAATTAAGACTTCTTCGTTTGCATGTTGTAAAGGGATGACAGAAAACCTGTATCTTTCTAGTGTTAGAGGCAGTGTGAGTGGGTAGTTGTTATTAGATATTTCTTACAGTAGAGTTGAATGGCTTTGATTGTCAGTGGAGCTCTGTTGTACAGGTGCTGTATGCACATACGGCTACGGGGGCAAGGACTAGTTTCACCGAAGAGACCCAAAACAGACAGGGGGATGAGATGCAAACAAATGCAATGAAGAGGTTTTATAACTTTGGTTGGCTACTTGTTCATGCAGGATTTTTTTGTGATTTGACGAAGCTATAGGTTGGCCTCTGCTGACAAACCTCTCTGTCATCAAAATGTTGGAGTGACCCTCTTCCTGCCACGTAGTTCTTTGTAATGTGAAATCAGTACTTGGAGCTTTAAGCTCAAGAATGAGTTAACAAGAAGCAACCTCAAGTATGGCCACTCAGTAGTAATTTCGTGTATTTGTAGTCCACAAATGATTTGTGTACCCTTTCCTTTTCAATAACTGTCTTACCTCAAGCTGAGCTGTAAAGTAGCTGGGAGAGGAGAATTTCTTGATGGTGTGATGGTTGGGGATTGGTTTGCTTTTGTTATTTAAGTATTTGAGAGTTGAATATATGAATATGAGAAACAGTTTAGCCTTTTATTGGTATATGTACTGTTATCTTTTGATATTCTGTGTAGCCTCGGGCTACATATTTCTTTCTGCTGTGTAATTACGTCTGCTCAGAAGCCAGTTATTCAGAAAGTTCTTTAGGAAGTAATCTTTAAGATCATTAAACAGGAACCAAGTTACCATAGAATTTCTGCTAAACGGGTTACTGAGCATTTTAATCATGTAAATTGCTGTAATGTTTCTCCTTTTAATTTTTAGGATGATCCATTTAAGAATAAAGCCTTGATGTTTACCAATAATACACAAGAATTGCATACAGACCCATTCCAGTCAGAAGATCCTTTCAAATCTGATCCATTTAAGGGAGCAGACCCTTTCAAAGGCAGTAAGTGACCAATGGCTTGCCTGAGACCTTGAAGACCAATTGCTGAGTAAATGATATTTTCACAAACTTTTATCATCTTGCTAAATAGTGGATAAAACAAATGATTTTTCTATTCTGCATAGGTGACCCATTCCAGCATGATCCTTTTGCAGAACAACCACCTGCTCCAGCAGGTAATAGCCCTTTTGATGACAGGACAGGTGCGATACAAACAATTTGTAGCCAAACGCAAAGATTTCCAAGGTTTCACTGGCTTCAGATTTTTGGTTTGCATGTGGGAACATAGAAACCTGACAGGGTGTGCATTCAGGATCAGTATGTTGATAACATGCATGTAACTCTTTTAAGTCCATAACCCTAATACAAACGTGTACTTGTTCAAACTTAGTAAATACCCTCTTTAGAGAGGTATCTGGAAGTTTACCTGATTTACCAAATCACTGTGTGTTTTTATAAGAAAAATTACATCAGTGAGTATGTGGTCAAATATGGAATGGTTCATTACGGACACACTAGGTGCTACATTCTATTTACCTTTTAATACTCCTAGATCCATTTGGAGGTGATCCATTTAAGGAAAGTGACCCATTTCGTAGTTCTGCCCCCGAGGATTTCTTCAAGAAACCGGTGAAGAGTGACCCATTTACCTCAGATCCATTCACAAAACCCTCCACTTTACCCTCAAAGGTCAGTAATTTTTAAATGTAATAGATTTCTTTACTAGTGACAAGCTTATTGTCCAACAGCTAAAATGAACAAAATACCGCTAAATATTTTTCTCCTAATTGATGAAATACGGTTAATTTTATTCTTAAGTATGGATTGTTAAGGCAATCAGCAGTTTTTTTCTTTCCAGTTCTGTGATCATGATGTACATTCACCATGAAGATGCAGTTAGGTGGAATTTTTTTTTTATTTTCCCTCTGAGAATTTCAACCCACCAGCACCCCCTCATTCACACCATTACCTCCATTCCATCGATGTTTCTATTTGTGCAGTCACATAGCGAATCGGATCGAGGAACTGATCTGGCTAAAGGATTACTGAGCCACCAACAGGCAATAGAGCCAGCACAGTGGAAGGACTGCACAGAACACATTTGTCAGATGTATAGTCACAGTTCTTAAAGCTGTCCTTACGTGTATGTGTGTGGTTGGTTTGGGGGGGGAGGTTTATGGATTGGATTGTTTTGTTTTGTAATTAATCCTCTCCCTCACCCTTAGGGCATTCATTGACTATTGCCACCCAAGTGTTAGAACACTATTCCAGTATCAGTCAGTGGGATGTTAGTTTAAGTCTTGCAATATAGGTTGGAACTTAGATAATAACAGACTTTCAAACTGAAGAGCCAACTGTAGACACGATCTATTTAAAAAGAAGCGATATACAGACTCTCTGAATTAATAATAACGTAAATGCCTGACCTGAATATTCAGTCTCTATTGCTTAAAGAATGAGCACTTCTGGGTGTAATTTCTTATTTTGCCCTGGTAACTAACGTTGCTTCTATTTCAGCATGATACACTTTTCACTTAAATGTGTTTTGCTCATAGGTACTTGGTGTTTTGTTGAATGCTATCAATAGCCAAATGCACTAATAATGCAAATTTCGTATAATCAGTTGATTTTATCCTACTATATGTCCACTGAACAGAGTGGTCTGAAATAGGAAATAATTTGTCTTAAAGTGAGAGATTTTTGATACGCATAAAAAGACAAGTGTACAGTACAGCAGAACAATAATTATGTGTATCTGTTCTTATTTAGCCTGACCCTTTTGAAAGCAGTGATCCTTTTACGTCTTCCAGTATCTCTTCAAAAGGTCCAGGTAAGAAGAAAAAATTTTCTCATGAAGATAAATAAGGAGGTATCTTTTTATGAAAGAAGAATGAAATGTAAAAGTTGAGCATAAAGAAAGTCTGTTATGAACTGCTGGGAAATATCATTGTGGTCCCGTTATGGATTATGAAGATTAAGTCTTCACGTACACTACATCACTTTTTTTTTTCTTTTATTCCTCCAAACAACTGATAGAAAACCTATTGCTTTATGGAATTGTCTTTTAACGTCTTACGCCAGGTCAAAATGCAAGCGTTTTGTAATCACCTGCCTAGTTTTTTACTTCATTGGCACCAAGCATTTTCCATAATTAAGTATTATTTCAAATAACTTTATTCCTGTATCTGTTTCAGATCCATTTGGAACACTGGATCCATTTGGAAGTGGTGCTTTCAATAGTGGTGAGGGATTTGCAGACTTCAGTCAGATGTCAAAGGTAAAGGTTACAAGGAAAGCAACTGTCCTTTTTAAAATTCCTTTACAGATACTTTTTTTTAAGGGTGTGAGATGATTGTAACTTTTCAGCTGACAACCCACTTTTGTTAATTTTTTTTTCCGAGCAACCTCATTAGTTACTTAGAAAAGCATTTTCCGTCCATCTCGAATATAGCAAAGTCTCACCAAGACCCGTAGATTCAAATCAACTTTTCACAAACATTTTCAAATACCAGAGAAGCAAAAGAAAGAACTTCTAGAAAGGTCCTTGTTCCAGATATCCAACCTGAGGTTGTTCCAGTGTCCAACCTTCCTCTTAAGTCCTGAAGTCTGCTTCTCGGATACTTATCTCTCATAGTTTCCTGGTTTGTTCTTAAACTTCTCCATGAGTACAGGGAACCAGAGGAAGGTGGAAGACACGTGTGCTGACATTTTATAGCTCTTAACAGCACTGCTGTTTCCTTGGATTCTTGGTGTATATATAGTGTATTTCAAATAGAACTAGGTCCTTGACTCCTCACCTGGATCGGTCACAGTCTGTTGTTAGTTTTCCAAGATGGAGTTTGGAATTTACAGTTGAAATCGGTTGCCCACCTTTTTACACTTAGTTCCACAATAGCACTTGAGCACTGTAGAGTAAATGTTAACTAGAAAATAGATAATTGTATCACTTTGGCTAATTAAACTTGTATTTTTTTTTTTCTAACTTTTCTCACTGTTTTTTGTGGGGGTTTTAGCTCTCCACTAGGTGGCAACAGTCTTTACAAATATTGATGTGTTTGGTTCGAGTTAGAAGCTTTATGAAGGTCTGACTGTGAGCTTCAGCTTTGCCTACAAAATTCCTCTTTCTTCATTTCATGATGATAAATTTCCTGGCGTGGCATAATTTTTTGTGCCTTTTTTAATCAATAGAGAGGCCTTCACAAGAGCCGGCTGAATATCGGAAACATTAAAAAAAATATATAGTTATGGAATTTTCCCTGAACTTTTACAAAAAAGACAAATAGCTGTGTGTAACTTAAGAAAAGCTTGGAAAAAAGCTATCCATTCAGCAATCTACCATGTTTTTCCAGTTTCTATGGTGGTTCTGTTTATCAGAATGAAGGCCAGACTGCAGTATGACCTTTGATTGCCAAATAGTAAAACATAGAGTTTTACTTCCTTTTTATTACTCTCATCTGCTTTTTGCTAGGACTACAAGTTCTAGAAGTACTTAAGTGATTAAGAGCATAAGTACTTTTGAATGTTAATGAAATCCTAGCACCTCTGTCAGTGGGGTTAGCCTCTTACACCACTGACATAATTCTGTAAATCTGTCCTCAATCTGCAGTTAATGCTTTTACTTGAGTTAATTTGTAGCTTTCATGAAACAACAGGTATGAAACGATGTGCTTAAATTCTTTTCCTTTTCTCTTTTTTCTCATGTAGTCAGTAGCTTCAGACCCCTTTGCCTCCTCTTTTGGAGGAATGGGTTTCTCAGATGACCCTTTCAAAAGCAAATCGGACACACCCGCGTTACCACCTAAGAAAAATGTCCCTCCTCGACCCAAGCCACCCAGTGGTAAGGAGGTTTTCTTTTTTTAATAGCCAGTTCCACTAATTTTCTGTGTATTATTGGACATAAGGATAAGTTGACAGTCTTCTGTCTCATTATTTTATATTTCAACCATGGGGGAGTGTATGAGATTATCGGTAAATTGGCAGAAATTGTCAGTAAACCAAACTGGAATTCTTTAGACTGGAAAACAGATGATTAGAGAGTGGTACGACAGATCTGTAAAATCACCTTTGGCAGGGAAGACTGGGGGGAAAAAAAATCAGCCTTTTCCAAGTAGGCAACAAATGATATTAGTAAATAGCACCTTCAAAATAAACAGAGAGGTTTGGTTTTATACAATAGTCTAAATTTAGATATTTTTTTTTGCCAGAGAATGTGATGAATGCAAGAAGTTTAAATGGACTTAAAGAACTAGACAGTTCTTAGAAGAAAATTCAACAGGGTCTACTGAAAGCCAAAGTACTCTGGCTCCAGTGTTGCTCAGTGCCTGCAAGGCAGTCTGAAGTATGGCTGTATCTTCACCTTGTTTTGATGTTCTTCCTGAGGCATCTGCCACTAGATACTAACAAGACCAGGGTACAGGGCTAGATAGACCTGTCCTGATCTGTCCAATTCTTGTATTCACACATTGCTGTGTTAATTAAAATATAAAACACTTTCTGAATATATGGCTTGTTCCTGCTTCAAGTCCATTGTGTATGGAAATTTAGATGTGTGTGAATCTCCTGAATTGAAAATAAGATCTCTTTTAATGGAGATTCAACTTCTACTTGTTCGCTCTCCCTAGAGTTGATTTTCAAAATATTCAGATGCCAGTGAAACTGTTTTAAGAACTGAAGCCACTTAGAGTTAGTTTCAAGTCTCCTTTTAACAGTTGTATAGTTCAGTTCATACTAGCAGTTGGCTTTTGCCTATGAATAGGCACATAATTTTGCACCAGACACCTGGGTCAACATCTAGTATTCTCATGTATCCACTGACAGTGTTAGGAAGCATAATACAAAGAAAACAGATCCATGATTAATGTCTCCCTGTCTAAATATGTGGATTGTCTACCTTTCTCCTGTTGCCTTTTGGAGCGAAGCATGCATCCTGCACCCATTCTGTCTGTAACAGGTATAGTTGATCTGGCTGGCTTTGCAAACCAGTTAGGCTAGAACTAGCTCCTTGGATAATGTGAAAAGTGCTTTGTATTACCAGGGTATCCTGAAGGTTGTCATTAACTGTCCTGTAGATTGATTCAAGTTTTGGAAAATATTATTTAGTACAGTAGACTTCTAAGCAGGCCATTGCAGCAGCATGAGTTTGTTCCTATTACTATGATTTTATTGCTCAAGAGATGATGATGATGCACATTAAGACCCTGGAATCAAATGATGAGGTTCTGTGTAGGTGAGTATTGATGAAAATTTGCCAGGAAATGCACCGGGATTGTGGAGAAGTTCTTGAAGCTGTATGTTCCATGCTTGCTTTGTGTAAATATTTTTTCCTATTGAGGTACTAGAGAGCCTTTAGTAATTTAACCCCCCCCCATGATCTATAATGTTGATAAATATCAACTAATGGGACACAAATGAATCAAAGCAGAAATATAAAGGCTGAAGGTAATCTTATTTGCCACTGTGAATGATGTTATTTTTCTTTCTACATTCGGTTTTCAAGGAAAGTATGCAAGTGGCCATCTTTCTCTTTAAGAAATGTCTACATGAAGGGCCTATATGAAGTTGAATGAGTCAAACAAATACTAAATACACCTATATTATCTCTTTCATGTGGTTTCTTTCTATTTCTTGATCAAAACATGATTATTCCTAGCAAATACGGTGTAATAGTAGCAGCAAAGATGAGAAATATGTGCTGTAGGATTGGTTCAACTACATGGGGTGTTTTTGGATTTGTCTCTTCATTCCCTCTTTTGCAGATACTGAGGAATTTTGGAGACCATTTAGCTTTAATAATTTGTTTTGAATTTAGATGTGTGCACTCAGCCTTTAATCAGTCTTTTAAAAAAATTTGTTTAAATGTGTACCTTCCCCTCTTCTTGGGAGACACAATATTTGTAAGGTTCCGCTGCTCTACCAAAAGCAAATGTTGTTATGATAAAATAGACTAAGGAGGAAACAAAGCAGGGGTTTTTTTAAAGCAAATGAGCCTCATGTGCTTATGCAGTTACACTCCTCCCTTCCTTCCACAACTAAGGCAATCTTCAGTGGTTACTTAAAGCATGAGAAATTATATAGTAATATACTGCGATTCTAGCAAGAGATACAGGCATACGAGTGTGTGTTAGAAATGGGAACGCTGCTCAGAAAACAAACAACAGACAAGAAACTTCCGCTGTTTCTTACCTTTCTCATTGGTCTGTTTAATTAAAAAACAAGTGGGTGATAAAGATCTTGCTGAAGGGATGAATAAATGCTAGTTATTACCAGACAAATCTGTAGCTTGCCTTTCTGTTCCCAGTTCATATTCTTTTTAGTAAAACTGTTCTTTCTGTTGGGGGGGGATTTTTAATATTGAAAAGCACTTGTGTAGTTTGCTTGCATTTTGTTAGGCAGGTACAGTGAAGGTCTAATATAAAGCTTTACTTGTCCTCAACACTCTACAGTCAAGTAAAAATACTGATAGATATTCTTGCAGAGCATTGAAAGCTCTCTGATTTCCCAAGTAGTTGTTGGTAGGGGAAACAAGCAAAATCCACCAGGGATTATTCCTGATTCAGTGCTTTTCTACATGCAAAGTTTTTTAGGAGTTATGTGACATGCAAGCATTAACTGATCGATCCATCGAGGTGTTGCAGGGTGTCCTGGAAGATCAGGGTGTGGCCAAAGTGTGCCACGGTTCCCTTCTTGCCCACGTGTCTGTTTTGTCCAGATGAATGAGGAGTTGTGCATCAAGGTCTCATTTCTTCACAAAGGCAGAGCAAACCTTTGGAACTGAACACAGGGCCAGGGAAACACTTCAGCCATGGCCTCTGTTTACCATTTAGTGAAGGTCAGATCAAAAGGCCTTCAGACATAGCTGGAAAAACCTGTGAAGGGAATGTGTAGTTCAAATTAGCTGCTCTCATATAAATGCTCTGGAGACAGTCTTCATACCACGCTTAAGGGAACTTTTCTGCTAGTGCCAGCTTTGTCAGTAGCAAGACTGCAGTTGGTGATCATTGGCCTCACAAATCCTGACCTGTTTGCTGGCTGCTTGTAAAGTGAAGGTTGGTTGGTTGGTTTGGTTGGTTTTAGTTGGTGTTTGGTTGGGGTTTTTTTTTTCCCAAAGCTTGGGTGTTGAGAAGCAGCTATGATCTGGTGACTTGTGTTAGCAGATACTTCAGTTCACAGCTGCCTGTGGTTGTTACTGTCGGCAAGGATAGGCAAACACCATGTGGCATGGATTAGACACTCTTGAGATCCATATCTTTCCCTTCTTGAAAACTAAAGTTAAGAGAGGGGGTGACAATCAGGAGATTATTTCCTTCAAGTTCTATCTTGGGCTGAACCTCAGGCTTACGCTTGTTCTGTTCTTCATAAATAATTTTACTTTTTTCTCACCCCTTTTTGAATTGAAGTCTTTCAAGATCTTTTAGATGTTACAGAGTCTTAAACTGATCCTTGCTCGGTCCAAGAGAAGCTTCATGTGTTTGTTTTTCTGATTAAATACTCTGTGTTTTTTTTTCAATATAACTGGGTAAAGCACAGAATCTTTAAAGAGAATTGGAGGAAGGCTAATAAATCAGTGAATAAAACTAGAGAATGACAAGAAGGTGTTTCAGAAGCAGCAAGCCTGGGTATCAGTGTACATCAGAGCTCCAATATATCTGTTACTTGCAAAGGTTTGAAACATCAGTATCTCTGTCCCTTACCTGGTTTAAGAAGATTCTCTTTTTAGGTTGAGGAAGATCGGCTAAGAAAAAGCTCTTTAAAACACTCTAGTCAGAAGAGCTAATAAAAATCCCCAAGGGAGCATGTGTGTGTTCTTTGTCTTCAGGAATGTGTTCATAGTCCCTGAAGTTCCTAATGGACATAAGATTTCGTACAGCTCCCCTGTGGTGTGGCTGAAGTAATTTGATGTTCACCAGGTGGTACTGGAGAACTTGAAGGTTTCTTTGAAGAGAAGTGGAAAGTTTTCTGTATTTACTGATGCTGTATCTTAAATAATGCTCAAAAAGCACTAAAAAATTATCCAGATATAAACAGGCTTGTGCTTTGCATAGTGGGCTATGATAAATGGAAAATGAGACAATAATAATTACTTATATTAACAAAAATAATAGTAGTGTATCTTGACATACTTAAACAAAGGTGCCCTGTGACAGGGATCTAAATTCCAGTGCAAATTATTTTCTCAAACTGTCCTAAAACATAGCCAAGTTTTGTAGATTTATAACTACATTTTATTTTCTGTCTGTTTAAGCACTACTGAGCTTCTCTTCGTTTGTAGATTTATAACTACATTTTATTTTCTGTCATAGAGAATTACCTGTAGTGTTTAAGCACTACTGAGCTTCTCTTCATTTTATGTTTCTTACCCTAGTTCTTGGGGTTTGTAAGACTTTCGTGTAATTAAGAATAAAAAAGTCCGAAAGAGCTGATACACTGAAACCTGTCAGTTAAAATGGTTTTTGTAGGTTCTCACAGATTAACAATTATGTTTTCTGCCGTGAGCTGCAGATTGAAATCAGTCGGAGTTCACCGCTAACTAGTTTCTAGGTAAAAGTTGTTGATTACAAAAAGAGAGAAACAGATTTTTTCTTTTTTTTTCTTTTTTTTTTTTTTTTTTTAAAGTACAGGAAGTTGCTGTGTGGGTGTCAGTGATTGGGTTATAAGTAAAATTCAATGCTCTAGTGCTTTGATCGTGGGACCTACTGCATTTGCCCCACCCTTACCACTTCCTTTAAATGCAGCACCATGCATTCCACATTGCGGTTATAACAGTACTGTTAACCAGTGATATTAGTGGAAGAACCTTCACCACTAACCAGTGTGTAACCTTCAACCTCTTCTAAATTT